CCACAGACACAGAGGAAATTCAGAGAATCATTAGATCTTACTACAGGAGCCTGTATGCCACAAAACTGGAAAATACAAAAGAAATGGACATCTTTTTAGATAAGTACCATATACCAAAGCTAAACCAAGACCAGGTGAAAGATCTAAATAGACCTGTTAGTCGCGAAGAACTTGAAGCAGTTATCAAAAATCTGCCCTCTAAAAAAAGCCCAGGACCAGATGGTTTCAATGCAGAATTCTACCAGAACTTCCAAGAAGAGCTAATACCTATTCTCCTTAATGTATTTCACAGTATAGAAACAGAAAAGTCATTGCCAAATTCCTTTTATGAAGCTACAGTTACCCTGATACCAAAACCACACAAAGACCCAACCAAGAAAGAGAACTACAGGCCTATCTCACTCATGAATATCGACGCAAAAATTCTTAATAAAATACTGGCAAACCGAATTCAAGAACACATTAGAAAAATTATCCATTATGATCAAGTAGGCTTCATCCCAGAGATGCAGGGCTGGTTCAACATACGCAAATCTATCAATGTAATCCACCATATAAATAAAATGAAAGAAAAAAACCATATGATCATTTCATTAGATGCTGAAAAAGCATTCGACAAAATCCAACACCCCTTTATGATAAAGGTATTGGAGAGACTAGGGATACAAGGGTCATACCTAAATATAATAAAAGCTATTTACAGCAAACCGACAGCTAACATTAAATTAAACGGAGAAAAACTCAAAGCCATCCCACTAAAATCAGGAACAAGACAAGGATGTCCACTCTCTCCATACCTCTTCAATATAGTGCTTGAAGTTCTAGCAATAGCAATAAGACAACATAAGGGGATCAAAGGGATTCGTATTGGAAAGGAAGAAGTTAAGCTTTCGTTATTTGCAGATGATATGATAGTATACATAAGCGACCCCAAAAACTCTACCAAAGAACTCCTACAGCTGATAAACACCTTCAGTAATGTGGCAGGATACAAGATCAACTCGAAAAAATCAGTTGCCTTCCTATACAGTAAGGATAAGGAAACAGAGAGGGAAATCAGAGAAGCATCACCTTTCATGATAGCCACAAAGAGCATAAAATATCTTGGGGTAACCCTGACCAAGGAAGTGAAAGATCTATATGACAAGAACTTTAAGACTTTGAAGAACGAAATAGAAGAAGACACCAGAAAATGGAAGGATCTCCCTTGCTCTTGGATTGGGAGGATCAACATAGTAAAAATGGCAATTCTTCCAAAAGCAATATATAGATTCAATGCAATCCCCATCAAAATCCCATCAAAATTCTTCACAGATCTGGAGAAGACAATAATCAACTTTATATGGAAAAATAAAAAACCCAGGATAGCCAAAACAATCTTATACAATAAAGGAACGTCTGGAGGCATTACCATCCCTGACTTCAAACTCTATTACAGAGCTACAGTATTAAAAACAGCTTGGTATTGGCATAAAAACAGAGAAGTCGACCAATGGAACCGTATAGAAGACCCTGACTTTAATCCACAAACCTATGAGCACCTGATTTTCGATAAAGGAGCTAAAACTATACAATGGAAAAAAGAGAGCATCTTCAACAAATTGTGCTGGCAAAACTGGATTTCAATCTGTACAAAAATGAAAATAGATCCATGTCTGTCACCATGCACAAAACTCAAGTCCAAGTGGATTAAAGACCTCAATATCAGTCTGAACACACTGAACCTGATAGGAGAGAAAGTGGGAACTACACTACAACAAGTGGGCACAGGAGACCGCTTCCTACGTATAACATCAGCAGCACAGACAGTAAGGGCCTCATTGAATAAATGGGACCTCATGAGACTGAGAAGCTTCTGTAAAGCAAAGGACACTGTCGCTAAGACAGAAAGGCAACCCACTGACTGGGAGAAGATCTTCACCAACCCCGCAACTGACAAAGGTCTGATCTCCAAAATATATAAAGAACTTAAGAAACTAGACTGTAAAAGGCTAATCAACCCAATTATAAAATGGGGCACTGAGCTGAACAGAGATCTCTCAACAGAAGAAGTTCAAATGGCCAAAAGACACCTAAGGTCATGCTCAACTTCCTTAGCGATCAGGGAAATGCAAATCAAGACAACTTTAAGATACCATCTTACACCTGTCAGAATGGCTAAAATCAAAAACACCAATGATAGCCTATGCTGGAGAGGTTGTGGAGAAAGGGGTACACTTATCCATTGCTGGTGGGAATGCAAACTTGTACAACCACTCTGGAAAGCAGTGTGGCGGTTTCTCAGAAAATTTGGGATCAACCTACCCATGGACCCAGCAATACCACTCTTGGGAATATACCCAAGAGAGGCCTTATCATGCAACAAAAATATATGCTCTACTATGTTCATAGCAGCATTGTTTGTAATAGCCAGAACCTGGAAACAACCTAGATGCCCCTCAATTGAAGAATGGATGAAGAAAGTATGGAATATATACATATTAGAGTACTACTCAGCAGTAAAAAACAAGGACTTCTTGAAGTTTGCAGGCAAATGGATGGAAATAGAAAACACTATCCTGAGTGAGGTAAGCCAGACCCAAAAAGAGGAACATGGGATGTTCTCACTCATATTTGGTTTCTAGCCATAAATAAAGGACATTGAGCCTACAATTCGGGTTCTTAGAGAAGCTAAAGAAGAAGGAGAACCCAAAGAAAAACATATAGGCATCCTCCTGAATATTAACCTTCATCAGGCGATGAAAGGAGACAGAGACAGAGACCCACATTGGAGCACCGGACTGAAATCTCAAGGTCCAAATCAGGAGCAGAAGGAGAGCGAACATGAGCAAGGAACTCAGGACTGCGAGGGGTGCACCCACACACTGAGACAATGGAGATGCTCTATCGGGAACTCACCAAGGCCAGCTGACCTGGGTCTGAAAAAGCCTGGGTTAAAACCGGTCTCACTGAACATAGCGGACAATGAGGACTACTAAGACATCAAGAACAGTGGCAATGGGTCTTTGATCCTACTGCATGTAGTGGCTTTGTGGGAGCCTAGGCAGTTTGGATGCTCACCTTACGAGACCTGGATGGAGGAGGGTTTTCCTCAGACTTCCCACGGGACGGAGAGCCCTGATTGCTCTTTGGGCTGAAGAGGGAGGGGGAACGTATTGGGGGAGGGGGAGGGAAAGGGGAGGCGGAGGTGGGGAAGAGACTGAAATATTTAGTAAATAAATAAATAAAGAAAAAAAAAAAAAGCAGCAGGGACCTTGTGCCTGCTCTCTCTTGCTTCTAGCTCCTGTTCAGGCTACTAGACTCTGTTTCTGTTTGAGCTCAGAGGAGTGTTGTTTAGGACGGTGATCTGTAAGTTGTCCCCTTAAATAAATAACCTTCTATTATCGGTAAAAAAAAAAAAAAAAAAAAAAAAAGTTCAACGGAGGATGCAGATAAGAAAATTCTAACCCTAAAATCACAAGATGAATGCTGGGTGTGCAGACCACGCATTGCTGTGTAGCCTTTTTCCTGCAATAAGGAATGATATAAATTCTCACCAGGAGCCAAGCTCACTGTGGGAGAGGCGTGAGTGCTGCCTAAAAGATAGAGGACTTGCAAGGTCACCATGACCCATTTCTCATTTTGCAGCAAGCTCAGAGGACATCTGTGACTCTGCCAACATAAAACAAGGATTATAGCCGGTTGCTTTGTGCGACATTTGTTAAACTTACATCTACAAGACTCTCCTTTGACAGCAGCGTTCTTACAGTCTGAACAGACAAACACTTAACAAAAGAACTACAAGTGTGCTGACCATTAGGAAGTGGAGATGTTGGTGTCCAGAAGTGGAAAACTCCTGGAAGAATGAAGTAGGCCTTAGCTCAGAGAAGGAAGGGAGAAGCTTCAAAGCCATGATCATCAAAATAGAGAGGCCTGCCTCAAATATTGTGATCTTTATTGCCCTTGAAATGATGGTGTATGAATGGATTCGGAGCCCTATAAAATGCAGAAGGGGATCAAATGACAGCTCATTCTTACAATTAAAATAAAAAAAAACTTACCAGTAAAAGTAATAGGTGAAATCCTGGTGGTTAGTCACTTTGTTTTTCATATTTGGTGTTGATAATTAAAATACCAGACAGTCTACTAGGTGTGGTACAATCGTAAACCCAGTTGGGTGTAACTTGAATTATCCATAAGAATCTAAAGCATACATGTGAGCACACGCACACTACACTCTGGCTCCTTTCCTCCCTTGCCCTAGAGTTTCTCCTGTCTTTGGCAGCGAGCACTCACTCACTCTCATCTTATGAACGGCCACGTCACAGTGCGTCTTCACTGTGTACATCAAATCAAGAAACTCCTATATAAAACTACCCGTTTGCTTTTCCTCCTGTCCTGAGCAACACGCTGAAATTAAAAGTCTAGTCATATCCTTCTCACGTTCTTTACTGCCTCTTAAAAACTGTAGTCTGGGGCAGTCCCAGCCTCCCGCAGAGCCTGGGAGATTAATGGACCCATCAGGAGATGGGTCAGAGGCAGCCTAGGGAGGCTGCTCTCCATGGTTCCTGAGTTACTGAGAAAACAGCACGAAAGAACTTAATGTTCAAATATCTGAGTAAAATTTAATTAGACCCGGAATGGAAGCTAAATGGGCATAGATGCCCTCACCCTTCGTTCTGTAAGGACAGAGGGACAGAGTGCCCAGAAGAAGTCAAGCACGTCCCCTGACACACAGACTGTCATGTAGGAACATCAAGGCCACAAAGCAGATTCCCAAGCCATATGTCAGGGGAAGAAATCAGCTAGCAAAGGTTTTAGACTCTGATACTACTAAAATTAATTTGAAGCCAAGATTTTCCATTTGCCAGTATGTTCTGAAGCAAGTCATTTAGCATCTCTGAGCCTGGAATTTTCATCTCAAAATAAAAAAGAGAACACCACTTCATAGGGTAATACTAAAGATCAGAAACCACTACATCTTTTGGCACAGATTAAGCTTAGTTCTTTCCTACTTACCCTTTCTTCCAGCCCATCTCCACTCCTTAGTGTCAGCTGCCAGTCTGAAAAACAAAATAAATAAATAAATAATAAATAAATAAATAAACCTTTATGCCAGGGACCTCCAGTGACCACACTGGATACAGACAAGCAATTTTCACTATTCTTACTGCCCCCAGTTTAAAACTGGGGTAGAGAGCTCTAAAAAGATAAAACACAAATGGCTGAGAAATACTTTAAGAAATATTCAACGTCCTTAACCATCAGGGAAATGCAAATTAAATCTACTTTGAGATGTCATCTTGCACCAGTCAGAATGGCCAAGATCAATATAACAAATAACAGCTCATGCTGGCAGGGATGCGAGGAAGGAGACAACGTATTCGTTGCTGGTAGGAGTGCAAACTTGCACCACTGTGGTAATCAGTGTAGCAGTTTCTCAGGAACCTGAGACTTGATCTACCTCAAGACCCAGCTATGCCACTTTTGGGGATATACCCAAAGAGCTCGACATCTTACTACAGAGATACTTGTCCAGTCATGTTCATTATTATTCTATGCATAATAGCCAGAAATTAGAAATATCCCAGATTTCTGATAAGGAAAATGTGGTGTATTTATACAATGAAACATTACCCAGCTTTCGTGAAATGTTCAGTAAACTGATGAAGCTAGAGAAAAAAGCATTCTGAGAGAGGTAATCCAGACCCCAAACGATAAATAACATGTGTTTTCTTTTATATGTAGATGTTGGCCATTAAACCATCAATATGTGTTCTAGAACCTGAATAACCACAGAAGTTAATTGGGTGCACAGTAAAGGACCAGGGAAGAGAACAGAGGAACTCAAGGAGAAATAGAATATATTTCTATGGAAATACTAGGGGGAAACTAAATAGGAGAGTTAAATAGGGCAGATAATGGGAGAAAAGGGGCAAACAAAGGAATATGGGGAAAAGCACTAACACTAAAGGCCACTTAACAAACCATATGGAAATATTCTATTGAAAAATGTTCATAATGGAATCCTAGTGGAGTCACCATGTAATAGGTCAGACAGTGTCTTCACTCGACATCTTATGCCACCAGGTAAAAGATGAAGCGCCACAGCTGGGCAGTGGTGACGCAAACCTTTAATCCCAGCACTTGGGTGGCAGAGGCAGGCGGATCTCTGTAAGTTCAAGGCCAGCCTGGTCTACAAAGTGAGTACCAGGACTCCAAAGCTACACAGAGAAGCCTTGTCTCAAACATCCAAGAAAAAAAAAAAACTCATTTTAAAAAAAGATCCAGTGCCATACATAAATGGGCTACATCTGGCTGAGTCACTGGCCAAAGAAATACTATGGAGCACCCCCTCTCCCCCCAAAAAAATTCCTCCAATGATCCCCCACTCCCTCACATTTGTGATATCTTCTTCAATTATTGTTACATAGATATGAATATATATACAATCTGCTGAGTCTGCTTAGTTCTGTTTGCATGTATATGTATTTATGGCTGACCACTTAGCATTGATGAGAATATCAAGGGACCCACTTCAGATAATAAAAATGAAGTTTTAATTTAAATATGAGTTTCCATGTCAGATGGGGAAATTATAGCCTTTGAGAAAATCAGGAAAACATGTTTAAAACATCAACCCTGCAAACTAGAAAGAAAAGTTGAACCTTTTATTTTTCTATAGTGAACTTTTTCTCATGCCTAAAGAAATAAGATCACCACCACCCAGCTGAGCTAACAGGAAACTAAATCTCTCTCACATGCCCAGCACCTCTGTCACCTTCCCTTGCTCAACTCTTCAAGTAAAGCCAAGTTACATATATTCCTTTCTGCAACTTCAGCCAGCCTCGCCTTCCCCTCAGTCACTGCCCCAGTTGAGGACTCATCGCTGTCCCACTTCTGATCCATCCTCTGATGGATAAGAGGGAACTCGTTGTTACTAAGATGTGTGTGCATGTACGTGTGTGAGCGTGCATGCGGATGTGAACACACATGTGCACATGCACACCTGTGGAAGCCAGAACAGTTTCTAGTTTGATGGATCTATGGACTGAAGTTAACTGCAGTTTCAAGCCACAATATGGGTGCTGGGAACTTAACTCTGGCCCACTCTGGTCCTCTGCAAAAGCAGTATACTCTTTGAGCCACCGAGCCACCTCTCCAAACCCGGAAGGGAGGTTTTCAATATTCCATCTATCTCTGATTCTTTCATATCACTGTCAAGAGTTATTAATATAAGCAAGGCCAGCTGAACTCCTCTCCTAGAACTGAAATACAGAGACTGGGAAATGGGCTCCTCAGATCTTTGCCCAGGAAGGAAAGGCTGTCTGAAGTAAGAGAGGCTAGGGATGGCATTCTGAGAGAAGGGGGGACTGAGCAAAGATGAGCCGAGGGAAGTCCTGGAAGTCTTTGGTTCTCATCCCCGGTGTGATTCCTTAATGTTACCTTTTGTTTTTATCAACTACGGAAACCAGTAAACTGTGCTGAAAGAAAAGGAAAGACAGACAGGCAGAATGGCAGACAGACAAGCAACGGTTTTGCCCAGCTTTTGTTTGTCTCCTCGTTATCTCTAAAGTATGTTTGTGAGCCTGGAAGTGTTAGCCCTTGACATTATGCCTTCTGTCTGCTGTCTCTGTCCTGCTTCACCATTCTCCCTTACTACATTCAGAATTCAGAGCAGGATAGACACTGAGCTGCACGTGACTGTCCTTGGTAATGCCACTGTAAATGTTGTAACCGCTGCAGTGGTTTCACCATGCTCGGCACAGGCCTCTGATGCTCTTCCCTCTGCATGCCGAGCCTCTAATGCAGCTCAACTGGAGCAAACAAGCAGCTTTATAACCCCCTTTGACTTTCTGCTTTCTCCTACCCAGTGAGGGCAAGGAAGAGCCACCTTTGTCTTCTGTCCATAAAGAGCATAGGACCTGGGAACACTCAGCAGGAAGTCGCAAACATTTGCTAAATAAACAAATGCATGAATATACCAAGACATGACAGTTTAGAAATCTTGAAAATTAGACTCTATGACCTTGCTTGAAAAGATCCTCAATGCATACAGAATAGGAATGTTCTTTCCCTTAGTGTGGAAGCCAGCAATATACAGACACTCAACTTACAGGTTACATTTTCTTACGACTGAGCTTATCCCTTTCAAGAGTTGAATATTAGCTTTTAATTGAATCCCCATCTAACTAGTGATTTAATAAATTCAAGGGAATAAACCCTCTTTGCATATCAACAGAGGTGAATGCAATTCAATATTTCTATTTAATTAAGCATTTTTGTGCTCTAATAGTCAAATTGCTGGAGGAGATGTCATTTCCATAAGCTTGCAAACCGAAGAAGCTCAGTAATTTACTTGAATAACTTTTAAGAGCTTCCCACCCCAAGAGAAGAGAGTTTCCTGACACCATCCTAAAAGTCCCCATATTGTACATCACTCCCGTTCAAGGCAATGGCTCAGAGGTGCAAACTTTTTATCATATTTATCCCAATCCCTCATCCCCTAATCCCCTCACCCTCTCATCTCTCGACAGAGGTTTCTGTCCCTCCCAGTTCCGCAGCCCGTCCAGTCCCAAACACACAGAGGTCTATGTTAATTACAACATTGGTTGGCCAATAACTCTAGCGTATTCCTAGCAAATGCTTACATCTTAAATTAGCCCATTTCTATGATTTTATAATTTACTATGAGGTTTGTGGCTTACCAGCAAGGTTCCAGCTAGCAGCTCACATCTTTTTCCTCTGGCAGCTCCATGGCTTCTCCATGACTCTTTCTCCCAGCATTCAATTTAATTTTCCCACCTAGCTCTACTCTTCTAAGTCACTGACCAAAGCAGCTTTATTCATTAACCAATAAAAGCAACACATATACATAAGGATTTCCCACATCACTCAACCATGTAGAGAGGGTCTCCACCTTTTAAAGTTCATGTCAGAAGCCCTGTCCTCCATTAAGCCTGCCTGGAATCAAGAAATACTCATCTAAATTTATCAAAAACCTGCTCGTTTTCATGCTCTAAAGTGTGATAGTTCTGTTAACTCATTTCTGACCTTAACAGAATGAATGAGCCTTGTAATTTACTGAAAAGGGAAAAGCCTGAGTCTTAGAGTCAGGGAAACCTGTGGAGACCATTACGCTTGTTGAATGACATGGAAGTGCCCATTGTCACTCTGGAGTCTAGCATCTCTATTTGTTGAATAGAGATGGTTTTACCTGCCCAGGCTGGCACATGTTGAGTTTCTGCCCAAAGCATTGTTTACACCGTGATGTTTAGAACTAGAAAGCCATTGTACGATCACACCAAAATAAATCACTGATGAACACACTCGATCCTCTTTGGGCAAAATGTGAATCACTGACCCACAGCCACTGCCAGACTATTTATATAAATCAAAGAGAAAAGGATTTTCAAATATGACTCTGTGTGCTGCCGAATTTGACTCTACCAGGTCAGGTTGAGCATAAGTTAGTGGCTTACCCACTGATATTGATAGGAAGCCAGTATTGAAAAATTATAAACAATGCGGCCAGAAGCACCTCCCTAGTCAAATAGATGGCCAGACATGGAGAATTATATAAATACAAACTCCTGGGACACATAAATTGGCCTATAAGAAGGGGAGTAAGAAAAGGGTGCACATACCAAACTGCAAGCACCTGGCAACTTAGGTCTGTCAGAATCAAGCAAGAAAGATTGCCTTTTTGTCTTGTTGAAAGCAATTACCCTACCTCGAGAGTGATGGAAAAGGTAAATGCATTTAGTTGATGCATCCAGGGACTCATATACTGGTTACATTTTTATTGCTGTGATAGAGCGCCATTAACAAGACAACTTAAAAAATAATATGTTTAATTGGATTTGCAATTTCAGAGGGCTAGCTAGAGTTGATAATGGCGAAGTCAAGGCATGGTGGAAGTAAAAGCTAGGAGTTCGTTTACCTTTCAAACTATAAGTAGGAGTCAGAGAGCACACTGGAAATGGTGGGGTATAGCAGGCTTTCTTGGGGCTGCTCACACAAAAAAAATGACACAGACTTATTATTAATTATGAAAGCTCAGCCTATAGCTTAGGCTTGTTTCTAACTAGCTCTTATGACATAACCCATTTCTAGTCGTCTTTGTGCCGCAGGATTCATGGCTTTTACCTCTCCTCCCTCATGCCCTCTCTGTGTCCACCTGGTGACCCCCACCTTTCTTCTTCCCAGAGCTCTCTCTGTGCAAAAGTCCCAGCTATAGCTCCTGGGGTTTAGCTTTTTATTAAATCGATCAAACATATCTTTACACGGTGTAATGAAATATCTCGTAACAATGTGAGTCTTTTAAAGCCTCAAAACCTGCCTCTGTGACATACCACCTCCTAATCCTTCCCAAACATTCCTATCAACTTGGGATCAAGTATTCAAACATATGGGCTCATGGAACTTATTCTCATTCAAACTATCACAACTAGTCTACCTGAACCCATAGCAACCAGTAACAAAAGGGACAAAAAAGCTTTGGAGGTGAGGCTCAGACTGTGATGGTCTGCTTTGCCTCCACCTGCAGTGTTCTCTCTGTTGCAGAGAAAGAACTGAAGCGTAAGAGTTTCAGTGATGTTTGCTAGTATGCATCTGACTTGGACGAGAATGGAGCACTGCCTGGCTCTAAGCTCTGTCCTCAAAGCCTGAAACTCACGACATTCCACACTGAGAGCTTCCGTTTCTTCATTTAGAATAATAGAAAACTCACTATTATGGGAAATAGAAAACAACAAAACCATTAACATGTGGCAGTTGGTATTGTTGTTTAATATTGCTAAATGGTCAATAGTATTATGAGTGGGTACTCTCGGAGATTGGAAAGCCAAATATAAACCTTATCATGATGGCCTACTTAAGACAGGATTGCACCTGGAATTGTTTATCTTTTAGTCTGTATACTGTGATTTTCTCTTCTCCCTCTTTTTTATTGTTTTCTTTTCAATGATTCTTGAAAAAAGTAAGGTGTGTTCCAGATCTGAAATTAATCCGAGATGTATAATCTATGCAAAGCTATAAATATAAGAAATGTAGTGTACATGAGGGAACGTGCCGTCTTTCAACAACAAAGCCTGGGCATTTGCTTTCAAAGTCATATGATACTCTTCTCTGCACAATATTCTCCTCCGTGGAGACACAACTAAGGGCACATTTAGCAAGAGAAGTGGCGTACCCCAAATTGCCATCAGCTGGCAAAGCAGTTAATTCAACCAGGTCCATTGAAATCAAACAAAACTCGCTTTTCTGGTTGAAAGCAACAACCATAGCTAGGGTATGGTCAACAAAGAAAATCAGTGTGGTGCCCAGGCTGTTTCCTGCTTGATGCCTGAGCAGTGGTTTGGTATGGTACTGATGCTGTCTTGTTCACCCTTTGCCTTCACCATGCGGTTCCGTAGACCCCATGGGATTATAGACCACAGTGCTCTGCATAATTCAGAGAACAAGTTCCACATTAGCTTGTCCCTCAAGAAAGCAAACTGGTGTGCTGAGGCAGAGAATCACAAGTTTAAGATCAGCTTTGGGCTTCGTAATGAAGCCCTATCTTGAAGGAAAAAAAAAAAAAACAGCAACTTGGAGCCCAGCCCTCTGATTGATGTCTGACATATGATCATTCCTGTCTTGGAGAATTCTAAAAACAGTTGCACAGTTCAGTAAAAAGACAGGAAAACTGGATCTGGGGAAAGACCATTCCCCAAAATAAAAATGGAGGAAAAATGGATTGCAGAAAAAGTGTAAAGTCCTTCTTTCAGTATTGTTTTATTATTTTCAGCACCCTCTTTGTACCAGACAGGATGTCAGGCTCCCAGGATACAAAGTCAAAATGCTACATGGTCCTTTTTGCAATGCTGAGAGCCTCACTGATTAAAGTGCAGGGTGATTGGATGGAAATCGCACAGCTTGTCAGGAACGTTTGAGACAGAACTCCTAGCATGCACCTTGAAAGACAGGCAAGAGTTTGCCATCAAGAACAAAGCGGGCATAAGGCACAAGTTAGCATGATGTGTCAGGGAAAGTTCAGGCCAATCAGAGAGACTCCCACAATGATTTGAGAATCATTGCTGAAGAATAATGGGTGAGATTTTGTTTCCAGCTAAGTACTGAATTCCTCCTGCCATCCCTGGATCGTTGTTTCTTCCTACACATTTATTAAGGCAGCCTTTCTCCCGGCAGCGGTTCTGAGATTTCTGTTACTTCTGCCTCGTGTAACTTGCTGAGGAGTGAAGATTAATGTATCTCCATCCCATGGCTCCCATTACATGCCAAAATGTGATGACAAGAGCTGCGAAGGATTTTTTTTTCTGAGAAAAGTAACTACCAAAGCCCTTGGCAGAATGTGTTTTATCATCTTGTGTTATTAACAGCAAGAGGAACCGTGGTCTCCACCCTGTAGGCCCTCTCCTCCAGTGCTAGTGAGCCATCTGCAATCAATCAAGGGGGTGGGTGTTTGAGTTCTCGATGGGCACTCTCTGTTGGGTTTCCTCCCTGTGTGAGTAGAGAAGAGATGGTGCATGACGGGGCTATTTATTGAGAGTGTGACTTTTGTACCCTCTCCATGACAAAGCAGCCAGAGTCCACCCTGGGCTCATTTGGGGATTATGATATCCTACCTTCTCAGAGCTCAGCACAGAGGCCTGCATCAACAAGGCCATTTATCTAAGAAAGAGCATCTTCATCAAAGTCCCTCCTTTGGGTTATCTTCATTTTTCATCCCTGATTTCTTCCGTGTCCTCTTAATTTGGAAGTTTTTCCAGTTCACAAACATTACTGCTTCTACAGCCAACAGTGACTTCACAGCTAGAAATCAAAAATGTTTTAGGAGACTGTCTTACCATTAACCAGTACTTTCTTATTTATAAAAGTTTCTTACGTCCATTACTTGGTATCCAAAACACACGGCCTCTCCGTTCATGCAAATCTTGATTTTTTTTCACTGTATTCAATGATCCTAGTAAACTTCAGCCCCTGTGTTAGAACTTTTTGATGGTTCTTTACCTTGGGTCTCAAAGCTAGTTCTGTATGCCTACTAGCAGCTTCCTGCACCAGTTATTTTTCTACTAACTAATGTGATAACAAATAACTCGTCATCTGCCTAATAATATCGGGCTATAGTGGTAGACTGAGACCAGCCCCGCTGTAGGCAGAGAGGCTTCATTCAGTAACTGGTAGAAACAGGTGCAGACCCAGAGCCAAACATTAGGTGGAGCTCAGAGAATCCTATGAAAAAGGGGGAGGAAAGATTCGAGGAGCTAGAAGTGTCAAGGACACCACAAGAAAATCCACAGAATCAGCTAACCTGGACTCCTAGGGGCTGACAGAGACTGAACCGGCAGCCAGGGAGCCTTTATGAGACTCACCTAGGCACTCTTTTTATATATTGTAGTTGTATAATGTGGTCTTACTGGGGTTCTCCTAACAGTGGGAGCAGGGGCTGTCTCTTGACTCTTTTGCTTGCTTTTGGGACCCTATTCTTCATACTGGGTCGCATCGTCCAACTTGAATACGAGGGGAGATGTCTAGTCTTACTGCAACTTGATATGCTATGATTGGTTGATAGCCATGAGAGGCCCGCCCTCTTCTGAATAGAAATGGAGGAGGGGTGAATGGGGGAACAGAGAGGAGGTGGGGAGAGGGACTAGGATGAAAGGAGGGAGGGGAAACTGTGGAGAGGATGTAAAACAACAATAACGATAATAATTTTTAAAACAAATAACCTTCATCTTGGTGCCTTATAACAGCTTAATTCCCAAATGCCTTGCAGGTTGACACAGGTTGGCTGCAGCGGCTCTCTGTCTTATTTTTTTAATCCAGGCTGGAAAAGAGACCTATGGTACATGCCATTCTAGTACAGTTAGGGAAAGAGCAACAACAGATCCAGTGACATTTCTTAATGTTTGTAGGAACATTCCCTAGGTCTTTGTTTTACACAGCATGTCTTTGTTTAGTTATATGGGTTCTTCTACAAAGAATGATAATTTATAGAAAGAATACAAGTTATTATTCATTGCATGTTTCTAATTACAACAAGAAGCATAGGATAGAAACCTTAAGCAGAGGACAAACAGTAGTTAGAGAGTGTCTTGGTTTTTAAAAACACTTAACACCACTAGAATGACATCCTACAAACCCGGGGTGCAGTGGACGACTGGGGTTCTCGCAAAAGAGCTCTCCTGAGTTGGAACTGTTACAAAAGCATAAGGTGCGAGCGAGCACAGGTCCATGTAAGGCTGGTGAGTCTTCAATGTGGACAGTTGCAGACAGCGTTAAACTACCAGCTTCTGAAGCGGACCATGGCCAGTGATGAGTGCACCCCCATTGCTATCAAGCCCGATGGGGTCCAGCATGGTTCTTGTGGGAGAATTCATCAAGCATTCTGAACAGTAAAGGCGCTTTGGCAATTCCAGACATATATACACAGTGGTATATATGTCGTTCTGATTATTGGAATCCCAGCTTTATCTCATGTTTCTCCCATTCCTATTCCTCCCCCTCCCCTGATGCAGGGAGGGGGAAACATCTGGGGAAATGGCTCAGTGGTTAAGAGCACTTTCTGCTCTTCCAGAAGATCTGAATTCAGACCCTGGCACTCGCATGGGTTGGGTCACAGCTGCCTGTGCCTCCAGTTCCTTGGTATACAGTGCCCTCTTCTGGCCACTGTGAGCACCTGCAAGCAGGTAGAAACCACAATGACAAACACACATAAATGAAAAATAAAAGTAGTTTCTAAAAGAAAATTTTAACCCAATAGCATATAGAAAGAAAGCAGTATGTCATAAATACTATCCCAATAAAAAAGCTAATTTTGAAAATGTATACACAGTGTATGGGTGCACCCCTCGCGGTCCTGACACATTTGTGTGCTTGTAAGTGCGTAGGAAAAAAGTCGTTTTTCTCATAGTTATGTAACATCTGAGTACTTTGCACGGTATTCTTGTGATTTTTTTTTCTAGAAAAGCCTTTCAAGCATGTGATAATAACCATGCATTTTTATAATAGGAGAGAAACAATGTCATAAGACCGAAGGAAATTTCCAAAAGGGGAGGCTATCTGACAGTGAGATGTAGAATTTGTTAGGCCCTCCGAGGTCATATGTGGGGCTACTCGATGCTCAGAAAAGGGATAGCATTTCAGAGGCAGCCCCACCTGGTGACACTAGCAAGTCCTCACCAGAAACATGGTTATGGACCTTGGAGGCACAAAGGTGGCCTTTGACTCAAGGCAGTGAAAGGGATCTCAGGTACAAACCCCCTTCTCCTCCACACCGTCAGGGCTCTCCTCCTCTAGGTAGCCCACCCTCCGGGCAGCAGTCAGAGTTCACTGAGCACTGTCTTCACTGGGCTTCTGTGTCTGCTGTATCCATGGCCGTGCTCCGTGCAAGGAACTGGCACAGTCAGCTGCCTGAGAATTCTCCAAGGGAGTTTTCTTCTAGAGAACAAAGGACAGAAGCAGAACAGAGATATCGCAATATTTCCACACGTGACGATTCAATAGGAAGGTATTTATACGCCCCCCCCCCCCCCCAGGAGACTGTTGTTCAACCGAGACAGGGAATCATTACACCGAAGCATTCCTAAGCCTAACCCACATCAGGTTATGCTTACATTCTGGGGAGATGGTAATATCTTTTCTAACTTCAGAATCGTTTTTATATCCCCCGTCATATTCCCCGTCAACCATGACTGAGGTACAATGCTGCTCTGAAGGAGGCATTCAACAAATATTTTAAGTCAAGGAGTAATAAATATGCACACAGATCAAAAAGAAAAGGACTGACATTTTCCCTTAGAGACTAAAATGTGCGCCATGTCGTTGAATGATTCTGATATGCGACATTTACTTTATTTTTATTTTTAATTTTGAGATTGTAATTACACCTTTACTTTACTTTCCTCTCTCCAACCCTGCCATGTTCCCTTCTCTTTCAGCTTCATGGATATGTGACATTTATACTGTGTCTTATAATTTACAAACTGATTTCTCTGTTGTTACTGAAGTTGATTAAAAAAAACTCACCACAGAAATTTATTATTGCCATTACTATTACTTTTCCTGCCATTTAAGTTGTCAAGCCTAATTAATTAGACTACTTACCAAACCTCGAGTCTTTGTTTTGTCCAAATCCATGAACTCAAAGTCAAGTCTCAAAAACAAACCAAAAGAAAGTCTTGTTTCTTTCCCACCACTTTTCCAAAAACAATTTTTTTTTTGAGTAGAGAAATATCTTCCCTTAGTTTAAATGGAGGGTAAAAATCCTGAGAGTGGAAATAAATTTTGTGTAAATAATACACTTGTCACTGAGCCGGCCCGTGATAAATCTGTAGAGACTGAAGAGTCATTCCCGTCTGGTCACACAAGATAAATGTTTGCATTTGGCGGGGGAAGAAAAGGATGCCATAGCAGCCGAGGGCCCAGGAGTCTCCAGAAGATGTTGTCATTGCCTTCAGTGACTTGATCTCTGTGGTGATTAATGGAGACTCTCTGCACAGTGGTATTTAATCTCTGAGTTTGGGGAGTTAAATTTAAACACACAAGCAATAGAAGAAATTTCTCGTCAAAGACAAGATCTTGGGTCAGTGGCTCCAGTCCACAAAGGATGTGTAAAATTTGGCTAATGCAAGAAGGTGAGAGCAAAATGTGGACAGCCCTCCCTCAGTTTACCCCCAAGTCCTGATACTGATTGGACTTTTAGAAAGAATGAGTCAAGTAGTCAATAGCGTTCTTCCCTGAAAGGCTACATGTAATCAGGGATTAGACAGGGTTTCTAAGTCATGGGAGAATTCATACGGGGAAGGAGAGGCATTCAGTAGTCACGGGGAAATTCACACGGGGAAGGAGAGGCATTTTGTAGCATCCTGGGTTCTGCCATCATCTTCAGATGACACCACTTGATGACTGTGAGTCTTTCAGAGTCTAGAAGACTCAACTCTCCAGTCAAGTTGTGTGACATCGTCACAGCACCGGGACTCCTGCTTAGCATCAACTAACTCTGCCGCCAGTCCCTTCTTCTTCTTTCCCATGCCGTAGCCCGAGTTTTTGTTTCAAATTTTCTTTTAACTGAAAGGGGGATGCGATGAGAACAGAAACTACTGTAAACCTTATCGCCGTTTCTTCCTACCAGTTTTATCTCTGTTTCTTCCTGTACCTCCTGCAAAGAGGGCATGATGAAAATGGTTCCCCCCTGAAGGATCTTTAGTTTGAAAATTTAAAAGAGACTCGCAAGCTGCTTCCATGCCTCGCCAGTCCTTCCAATTGAGTCCAATCTGTCTGCCACATCTCACCTGCTACATGTCTTTTGCAACCTTTTACTCAATGCTTCCTGGGTCCTGTTGGCTCTTTGCCCTATTCTCCACCCCTGCTATTTCTGCCATTCCGCTCCCTGCTTCCGATCATTGCTTGCAGTGCCTGGCCCCAAGGTTCAGGGCTTTACTCTGCATGGGCCCTATCCCCCTGGACCTTTCTCATCTGAGGGGATAGTCCTAGCAGTCTGGACTGACCAACTCAGCTAATCCCCAGACACACATCCAGGCTTTGATCTGGCACACCCCAACATCTATCCCATCTATAACCCGCTGGAGCCTTAAAGAGACTGGCCCTGTAGAACCATAGACTCAGGATCTCCATGACTTTGGCAATAGCAGGATAGGCAAGAGTAGTTTCAATGAGGGTCTAGCATTGATGATGGGCCAGGAGCCAGCATTATTGAAGCTGACCAGCAACACATGATACAAAGAACATTTGCAAGTGAAGCTGTTTGGACAAAATGGTCTATTGCATGATAGACCGCAGCTCCCAGTGCCACTAACATGAATGAAGAGGAAGATGAGAGGCAGGAAAGGAGGAGGAGGAAGGTGACTTTTTGTTGTGGAATATTATTCTAATAAGGCAAAGATGTGTTCCATTTGTTTATGCTATGGAATACTATTTTAACTATGTAAGGGTGCATTGCATTTATTTCTGCTGTCTTTGTTAATGACGTAAAGATGTGTTACATTGGTTTTTTTCTGCATTTGTTTAATTATGTAAAGATGTGTTACATTTGTTTCACCTTACCTGGCTAAGGCACAGGATTGGTCTAATAAAAACTGAATGACCGATAGCTAGGAGAGAGAGAGAGAGAGAGAGAGAGAGAGAGAGAGAGAGAGAGNCTGGCAGGCAGAGAAAATAAAAGGAGGAGAAATCTAGACTCGGGAGAAGAAGGAAGAGAATGAGGGAGAAAGAGGCAGGGACATGCCAGGGACCAGAATCCAGGCAGCTGACAGCCAGCCAGAAAAGAGAAGCAATAATGTAAGACATGCAGAAAGAGAGAAGCAAGAGAGAAAACTAATGAGAGAAAAAGGTAAAAAAGTCCCAAGGCAAAACATAAAGAAAAAAACAGGACGATCTAAGTCATAAGAGCTGGCAAAAAATAAGAACTAAGATAAGGTTGAATTTTCAAAACTAATAAATATCTGTGCCATGATCGGGGGGCTGGGTGGTGGCTCAAAGGAAAGCCTGTTACAGTTTTTTGTTTGTTTTTAGTTAATATTCTTATTTGCATTTTTATTTTTAATATTTATTTAAATTTTCCTTTTGGATGGACATAACAAGGGTGAAGAGCAGTTATGGCGGGACTGGAAAATGAGGGGGATTGGGGTACATGATGTGAAATTCCCATGGTTTCAATAAAAATTATGTTTGACAAATGAAAGAAAGAAAACTACCTTAAGCAATGTATTTCTGATCACTTGAAGTTTTCAAATAAATAGCTCGGGCTGGTTTCCTTACTGAATGATGACTATTGTCTGCTCCATCATTATGAGTCTGGCCCACATATAAAGCTTTTTAAAAGGGATTACATAAAACCCATTAAAATCTTTAGCAACATCTGCTCTGTGTCAGGCACTGACCTTGGCATTTGAAAGACAACTTGATTATGACATTGGTCCTGCCATTAGGATGCTCAAGTGCTAATGGAAGAGATAAAGATGCAGCCCTCTCAATGCGACAAGGTGTGTACTTCCATAAAGTGGGGTGACTGGATTTCGATAGATAAACAAAAGCAGTAGAAGGAATATAGAGTTCTAGTTTGCTTTCTGGTCATCTGATAAAAAGAAAAACTGATGAAAACTAACTGGTGAAGGAAAGT